CACACTTTTGATTAATTCCTTCCAAGTAATGATTATGCTATGTTGAGACTTGTGAGTACACTGATATGCTGGGATTTATCTCCAAGATTTGGATCTTTTCTACATAGGTTATCGATTAGCTCGTCTAAATGTAGCACTTTTGTGTTTGTTTAGATCTTGTAGTGAGATTCTACAGTGATCAAGATAGTAGTAACTTTGAATGCCATTTCTGACTATGTGTGTCGAATGGCTTAAACCGTATGCTGAATCGGATGATTCAGTTTTAGAAGTTTGTGTGTCACTTTCATTTTAGTTTGGACGTTTCATTTGAATCGTGCAGTCAAGTTTATGTGGTTAGTCAAGTAGCCAAATTCTTGGGGTTTACAGAAGTTATATGCTAGAGGTAACGCTGCGCATTAGTTCGATTCTCTGTATAAATCGTTTCATACGGAAATTTTAACAAGTCAGCTTTCGATATATGCCGAATTGGGTAACTGATAGGCTATATAAACAGAGGAGATGGGATTAGTTGGGAAGCCTTTTGGGTTTGAGAGAGATTATTATGGTCTCAGAAACAAATCTGAAACAGTTTCTTGGTTCTTGATCGTGGAATGTTTTTCTTCGTGTGCTTCGTTTCTTGGTAACTAACGAGAGTTTGTTGATTCTGAATCTTATCAATCACAAACTGTTACAGATGAAACTATGTGTTCCTCAGGTGTTTGTTTAGTAGTTGGAGATGTTTACTGCATTCTAAAGCACTTACCGTAATATTTTCTTCAATTCTCTATTTTGACTAGCAAAACTAATCATATGATCTTGTTTCTTTCCTTTGTTGTTTCTCTAAAGAGAGAACGAATCAGACAAGAACGTGAAGCAGCTTCGTTATTGAATGACACAAACTCAACACATGATAAAGCTGCTCAAGAAGCATCTGCCGGATGATTTGTCTCTCTGTCTCATCAAAATCTCTTTTCTTCCTTTTTCATTCTGAAACATTCAAGTCAAGTCCAAAGTAGTTAAACAAGTCATGGTGATGTTAAGAATAGTCTTGAGACATAAATCCTACAAATACTCCCACAATCCCATGTGTGGGGTGTTTGTTTTTACTATTGTACTTTTTTTGTTCATCGACAAACATCGACACGTACCTTACCTTAATGTTTTTTATATATATACTTTCATGTGCATAAAGTTAATGTCTCAACTACTAGCACTTCATGTCAATCTTGTCTATCTAAAAATTGTGTTTCAATCAATCACGTGTCTTGGATTGTAGATACTTCGAATGATTTATTCGTATATTTTTCCATATAAAATCTTTAGTGATTATGTTTATTCCATTAGATGAAAGATAATAAATAATGCAACAAATGTGAGTGTGATGAGACGAAATTCGTTTGGAAGAAGTCACAACATATGTCACATTAGAGACTATCTTAATCTAGAGTTTTGTCTCGTAGACTTTAATGCCAAAATCGGACTATACATTTGAATCATGATGTATTAGGCAATTGCAATAATGTCTTCATTTATTTATTTATTTTCTTACTGTAGATGTGACAACTTGTCACTGACAAGCATAATGTTGGTTTTTATCATCTCGATTTAAACATTTGGTTTCACATAAATGTTTTCAGTCGAGGTGATATTCGATCTAAAAAGGACGAACAAGAATTTTATCGGTATTTGGATGTTTTAGTTATTTAAACATTTTGAATTGGTATTTTGAGCCGGATTCTTCAGTTTGTGATTATTTAATACATCAAATTTTGTATGTGTTTCAACATGTAGAAACGTATACAAATGATACCTATTATGAGGTTTACTTCGACCGCTAATGACATAATAATAGCTGAGCTGAAGAAGACAAATTAGATATGTCATTTGGACTTATGAGTTATGAATACTCACGTAAATATTGACTAGTTTCTTTATTTCCACACGTGTGCATGACTAGATTATATGAATACCATCTCACGATCTATATGCGTTACATGTGTGAATGAGTAATACACAGTAACACAATTTACAATAAATATGTGATGTGTCCATTGCATATATTTTGTCCAAAAAAAAAAGTCCATTCATATAGAATACAATACGAAAGCCGTTTAATGATTTACATCCTCAGAAAAGATGTAATTCACTGAATTCAGATCTCAATCGCAATTACAAACATTAGAGAAAAAAAGAAAAATAACGATTTGTTGACAAACAAAAATAACTATTTACTTTCTATCAAAATGATTGAAAACAACAACCAAAAACTTGTGAATCAGAAAACATTAAGGAAACATAAGTGCCATAGTGGTCCCAGTAAGATGGACCAATTAAAAAAGTTAAAATATTTGAATATCTGTATATATATTTACACCTTTTATATGATTTTTACGTTGGATTTATGGCATAAATTTTACTTGTTACACCCACTAGTGAAAATGTAACGTTTTCTTCTTGTATATTCTAAAAACAATTGAAAGATAACAACAACAGTTAATGAATCAACAAGAAAGGTAATTAATGCGAGAGAGGTAAATGCGAGGGAGATGGTCAATTAAAGTACTTATCGGTGAGGTCCGTATTTGGATTATGATGCGAAGAGGGACCCTTTTGCAATTAATCCTTTTCCACATCCATGAAACACGACAAGATAAAAACATATTACTGTGCGGTTAAAAACTCATCTATCCAATAATAACCAATCAATTCAAAAATTACCGCACAGTAGAAAATTATATATAAAGATTTCGTAATTTTTCGTAATTATTACATAGACATATTAGTTTTTACGAATTTACGTC